GGAAAGGAGGGCCAGGCTGGTTGGTGTCAGTTGCAGTTATTCCATTCCCATCTCCTTTCTCCTCTGATTATCCTCCTGCTTCTTTTCCCCCCATGCTACTTCATTCTTCTCCTCAATCCCCCTTCATTCTCCTTCTGGCTCTGGAATCTGGATCTGTATCCCCTTTCTCCTTCTCCTTCTGGAGTCTGGATCCTGATCCCGATTCCCTTTCTCCTCTTGCTCTGGAGTCTGGATCCCCCAGCCCATTCTTACAGTCTAGTTAAATCCCAAAGCATGAGGGGTTGGGGTAATAACTACACGTAGGTGTGGTCACAATCAATAGGGGTAAAGTTCTTTCCCTCAGAGAAAGCAGCTTCTAGAACAGATACTCTCTCAGCAGGACAGCCCACCCTAGAACGAAATCCCATGGGTGTGTTTCTCCTCTCCTTGTCCAACAAACATATAAGCATACATAATATAAATCATTTTGTATGGATACAGTAAGAAATATCTTAAAGTTGATAGAATTGCTCTCCTAGGGCCATCTCGATCTCAGACTACAGTGCTCAGGCTAGATAGTCTTTCCTATCCCTAGCAGTGTCCTAGTCTTGTTGTTACCTTTGGATCATGACAGCTTTTGTCTATGACCAAGGTCTTAACTTACAGTTAAGAATCGTGGAACTTTGGCCTGGCCCATTTCAATGCCAGGGAAGCTCACCACTTGCCCTGGGTCCATTCAGTCCCTCGTCGGGACCCTGCTTTTGGGGTGTTATTAGGAACTAAGGGCAACTGAGGCTTAAGTCGAGAAAGCAGATGCCCGGGAGTGAATAATATTCAGAGCCAATTAAATTCTATGTTACAAAGCATAATGTTAATGGTCTTCCTGTATCTATACAAAAAGGGCATTGCATTCAAGTATTCAAAAGACAAAAGGAGAGGGGAATGACAATATTAACTTACAATACAATTTCAGTGTCCTAGAAGGATCTGACCTTACAAATTAACAGATTCTGATTAGGGGGAAAAGCTGGTTAACTGGTTGGGGAAGAGAGCATAGAGAATTGGTTACAGATAAATAAAGGAATGGGAGTGACTCCGGAGCACTGTGATGGGTGTAACCTGATAAACCTAAACTCCTTGTGGCAAGGGAGAAAGAACAAAACAATGTCATCCTACATGAAAGTACACATCTCAAGATGGGAGATGCGGGTGACATATGTGCTCAGGCACTGCTTATGCTCAGCCATGTAGGCAGAAGCAGCACAGGGGCTTGGGCAGCGTATGCGTGCTCTCCTTTGTTAAAATTTCTAGGGTTTCTCCAACCTGACCCATGTGGGTCTTCTATCTAGGTAAAAGTCTGTTGCTAAGAAGGTGGCCTAGTGGGGTAAGGATGGGAGTGGCCATGGTCTTCTTTGAAATTCCTTTCCTGGCCTTTTGTTCCTGCTGGAGCTTCTGTCAGAGGGGGGTCCAACCTTCTCTGGATCTGTTGCTGGAGCCAGATGAGGGTCTTATCAGGCCTTAGTTCCTGTTTTCTGCAAGGTTGGCCTTGGAAACTTCAGGGGTATTACTTCCCAGGAAATTTACTGCCATTGCCTTGGGAGCACTGGCCCCCTATCTGCCTGCCTGTCTACATCAATAGTGAGTAGTAGTGAGAATAATGATAATAATAATGATAATGGTGACTGTGTTATGCCTCAGTTGCAGTTGGTGCTCCTTGTACAATTAAGGTAACATGGTGTGCCTTATGCTTAACTTAATTTTAAGGTTATAATAAAAGAAAAATCTGTAGGAATGTAGTACATTATCATACTTAAAGCAGTCAATTAAATTAGTCTCCTGATACAAGCATCTATATAAACTCATTTATCACACAAGTTAGCTTGGTTTGACCTTTCTACCCCTTTTTAGGTAAGGATGGTAACAATTTCTCAGTAGCAAAATTATTGATTTTATTTTGACAGTGTGATTTTCCTTCTTTTTTGCACTTCTATTACTTTCTTAGAGACTGGACTCTCATTTCCACTTTGGAAAAAAATTAAAAGTTTGAAAGATATTGGAAGCTATATATTATAATATATATAATTATATATTAATGTCCATACCTAAACATCCACACCTAAACAGTTTATGAGGTATTAAGGTCAATGAGTATTTCCTTTATTAATAAAAAAAAGTTTTGATTATCTGTTGAAATTTGACATGTTCTTCAAGTTAATGACAATCTTTTTTTTTTTGGTCTTGAATTATACTATCCCATGAATGCTATTATCTTTTCCCTAATTTTAATACTGATTCTTTTATGTTTAATGATAATCTGTCTTGTGCAATATTGACAGTGATCAGCTAGGTAGAGAATATTGAAAAGACTTCTAAAGAATTGTGGGAAAAACACCTGAAAAAAGTAAGATACTTACAACAGAAAATGAAGAGGAGAAAGGGAGTAATAATGTGAAATCTTAGAATGAGTATTGGATTAACTTGGTTTCAATTTAAAATAAGCTATAAATGTAGGACCTGTGTAAACCTCAAGGAAACCTCAGAACAAAAATACAAAGAAGAAGTAAACAAGAAGAGGAAAAATAGAACCAAATGCCACAAAAAGAAAAACACATAGCAAAATGTATTAAACAGTCTTATTGAAATGGTGTTACTAAATGTGAATGGCCTGAGCTCACCAATCAAGACACACACAGTGGGTGGGTTGACAAGAAGATACCAACTTTCTTACATCTATAAGATATTTATTTGAGATTTACATCTCAAATAAGCATACGTTTAAAGTAAAAGAATGGAAAACAATTCTTCAAGCAAAAGGCAACCTTAAGAAGGCATGGGCAACCATACTTATTTCAGATAAAATAGACTTAATGCTAAAAACAATAAGAAGAAATAAGGATATCATTTTATAATGATCAAAGGATCAATCCACCAGTAAAATATGATAATGGTGACTGTGTTCATTTACCAAATGAAGACACATACAAATATAAATGTAGTTGGAGAGAAAAAGAGGAAATGTGCCTGTCTTGGAGGCAGGGGGTGGGAAGAGAAGGGAATGGAGGGAGGGATACTGGGAACATTGGTGGTGGAGAATAGGCACTGGTGGAGGGATGGGTATTCAAACACTGTTTGACTAAAACACAATCTTGAAGGTTTGTAAGTCTGTGACTGTATCTTGCAGTGATTCATTAAAATAAAAAATAAAAATAAATAAAAATGTAATTGAGATCAGAGTGATAGTACAGTGGGTAGGATACTTGTCTTGCTCACACCAACCATGGCTTACTCATAAATATCCCATATGCTCCCCTGAGTCACACCAGGAGTGATACCTGAGCACAGAGCCAGGAGTAATTTCTGAGTGCCTCTAGGTGTGGCCCCCCAAAATGTGCGTATATATATATTTATTTATAATATTTGAGATGGGCTGGAGCGATAGCACAGTGGGTAGGGCGTTCGCCTTACAAGCGGCCAACATGGCCGACCCGAGTTTGATTCCTCCGCCCCTCTCGGAGAGCCCAGCAAGCTACCGAGAGTATTCGATATGCCAGACACAGTAACAACAAAGTCTCCAATGGAGACGTTACTGGGCCCGCTCGAGCAAATCGACGATCAACGGGAGGGCCTTTACTTTTACTTTTAATATTTGAGATTTACATCTCAAATAAGTATACGTTTAAAGTAAAATAAAAGAATGGAAAACAATATAATATTTATATATTTAATATTTTAAGACTTAATTGATATATATCAATTAAGTCTTAAAATATTAAAAGAATAATAACATTGATAACAATAGTATGCAGGGAATTACTATCTTTTACTCTTATCAATAGAGAAATCAGACAGAAAATCAACAATATTAAATGAGGAATTAAACCAGATAAATTTGATATATATATATACATGAGCCTGTATGTCTCATACAAAGTTGAATATTCATTCTTCTTAAGTGAAAATGAAACATTCTTGAGGTTATACCACACGTTGGAGGGACAAAACAAATGTTAATAGAGTCACAAAAATTGAAATCATATCAAGTATCCTTTCTAGTCACAATGGTCACTGTCACTGTCACTGTCCTCCCATTGTTCATTGATTTGCTTGAGTGGGCCCAGTAATGTCTTCACTGTGAGACTTGTTGTTACTGTGTTTGGCATATCGAGTATGTCATGGGTAGCTTGCCAGGCTTTGCCGTGCGGGCAAGATACTCTTGGTAGCTTGCTGGGCTCTCCAAGGGGGCGGAGGAATCAACCCCGGGTTGCCCGTGTAGGCCACGTGCAAGGTAAATGTCCAACCGCTGTGCTACCAGGAAAAAATAACTCAAATATACGAAGATTACACAACATGCTACTTAACAGAAATGGGGTCAAAGAAGAAATCTCAAGAAAAATTACAAAATATCTTCAAATAAACAAAAATATGCCAAGCACATAACAACAAGTCTCACAACGGAGATGTTACTGGGCCCGTTTGAGCAAATCGATGAACATCGGGAGGACAGTGCTACAGTGCTACAGATGGGCACAGTTATAAGAATTTTATTTTTTTTGTGTCACACCCAGTGTTGCTTAGGGGGTACTCCTGGCTCTGCACTCAGGAATCACTCCTGGTGGTGCACAGGGGACCATATGGGATGCTGGGAATAAAACCCAGGTTGGCCACATGCAAGGCAAATGCTATCACTCCAGCCCCATCTATAAGAATTCTTGGGATGCAGTAAAAGCAGTTCTAAGGGGGAAAGTCATAGCACTTTAGACTTATGTCATGAAAAAGAAAAAATTCTCAAATCAACGATCTAACCTTTACTTCAGTGGTTTGAGAAAGGAGAAAGATCTAGACAAAACCCAAGAAATAATGAATAAAATAATTCAAATGAAAGTAGAAAGGAAATGAATTAGAAATCTAAAAGACCATACAAAAACTCAATGAAACCAAGAGCTAGTTCTTTGAAAGGACTTAAAAAAAAAAAGATTTACAAAACTTTTGTTCTGTGTTAGGCCCAACTGGTTGCTGTAGAAATGAGATTGTTCATGAAACCATGGAATGTGGTGCTGATCCTTGTCAGATGCTACTTAGGACACAAAGCTATAACCATAAAGAACGTTGCTGATGGCACCTCAGACTGCCCCCACAGCCATGCCCTGGTGGCTGGAATTGATCACTATCCCTGCAAAGTGACAGCTGCCACGGGCAAGAAGAAAATCACCAAAAGGTTCAAGATCAAGTCTTCTGTGAAAGTTTATAAGTATAGTCACCTCATGCTCAAAAGGTATACTGTGGACATCCTCTTGGACAAAATCATCCTCAACAAGGATGTCTTCAGAGACCCAGCTCTTTAATACAAAACCCAGGAGAGATACAACACCAGCAAGAACAAACGGTTCTTCCAGAGGCTGTGGTTTTAAATGTTGCTTCCATCAAAACAAAAAACAAACAAACAAAAAAAAACTTATGTTAACAAAAGAAAAATAAAGAGACAACTCTGACCAAAAAAAACATAAATAAGAAAGAAGTGTCAGTGACACTCCAGAAACTCAAAAGATCATAAGAGGCCACTGTGAACATCTATCTGCAATAAACTGGAAAAATTACAAGAAATGAACAAATTCTCAGAAATATACAACCTTTAAAGATAGAATCAGGAGGAAGTAGAAAATCAGAGCCAATTGCAAGTAAGAAAATTGAGAGAGCAATAAAATATATCCTTCAAACAGAAGCCGAAGACCAAAAGATTTTACTGAAATCTACAAAATCTAAGAGGATCAATTACAGATCATTTAAAAAGATCTTCCAGAAAATTGAAGAGGGGCTTCTACTAGGCAGATTTTTGTCAGGTAAATATTACCTTGTTATAAAATCAGACAAAGATATCACATAAAAGAAAACCACAGACAAATATCCCTGATGAATTTTAATGCAAAAGCCCCTAACAAAATCTTAGAAAAGCTAACACAATAATATATTAAAAGGATTATAAAAAATGGTCAGTTGAGTTATAATTTAATTTAAGGAATGTAAGAATGGTTCGACTACACAAACAAAGAAATATACTACACCAACCATAAGAAAGATAAAAATCATATAATCTTGGACTGGAGCAATAGTATAGCATGTGGGACATTTGCCTTGCACACGGCCAACCTGTATTTGATACCCAGCATCCCATATGGTCCCCTGAGCACCAACAGGAGTAATTCCTGAGTATAAAGCCAGGAGTAAGCCCTGACCATCCCCAGCTGTGGCCCCCCCCAAAAATAAACAAAAAACATGCAATCTCATCAATAGCTCTGAAGAGGGCACTTGCCAATATTCAGTATCCATTTATGATTTTTAAAAACCTCAATAAAATTAAGATTGTGGAACATTCCCAAATGTGATTATAAAACCATAAAAACAAACTTAGAGCTAAAATCAACATTAACTAAAATACTGAAAGATTTTCCCCTTAATTTTGGGCTGGAGCGATAGCACAGCAGGCAAGGTGTTTGCCTTGCATGAAGCCGACCTGGGTTTGATTTCTCCTCCCCTCTCGGAGAGCCCAGCAAGCTACGGAGAGTATCCTGCCTGCATGGCATAGCCTGTCAAGCTCCCTGTGGTGTAATCGATATGCCAAAAACTGTAACAAATTTCACAGTGGAGACTGGTGCCCACTTGAGTAAATTAATGAACAACAGGAGGACAGTGCTACAGTGCTTGGATACAAGACAAGGTTGCCTGCTCTCAGCATTATTATTCAAAACAGTATTGGAAGGTCTAGCCAGAGCTATGGGAAAATAGGCAGGAAAAAAATAAATACAAATTAGTTGAGAACTTGTACTTTTAAATTGAGCTTATTGAAATATAGTGGAGTAAAGTGTGGAGTAAAGTTCAAAAAAATTCTGAAACAATTCAGAAAAGAAACAAAACTGTGTGGGGGCTGGAGTGATAGTACAGCTGGGAGGGCATTTGCCTTTCACGCAGCCGACCTGGGTTTGATCCCTGGCATTCCATATGGTCCCCTGAGCACTGCGAGTACTAATTCCAGAGTGCAGAGCAAGGACTTACCGCTGAGCATTGCTGGGTGTGACCCCCCCCAAAAAAGGAAAAAAATACTGTGTCTATTTATAGATGATGCAATACTAACATAGGAAACTTTAGTGCTGTCACAAAATAAACTACAAAGAACACAGAATCATTACAGTAATATGGTAAGTTACAAAATCACCACACAAAAATATGTTGTGTTTCAGTAGTGAATAATGAAAGTGGGAAAAAATCAAGAAAAGCAACCCATTTACAATTTCTTAAAAAAGAATTACGTACCTATAAACAAACTTAAAAAAATAATGTAGGAGTACTGCTATTTGTTCTGCCATTGATTAAGCTGATTGAATTGGGCATGAACTCCACATTACTTTTTAATTTTATTATATCACCATGAGATAGAGTTACAAAGCTTTCATGTTTGAGATTCAGCCATACAATGATGGAACACCCATCCCTCCACCAGTGCACATTTTCCACCACCATTGTCCCAACTATTACCCCCTCTCACATACGTACACATTGCAGTCCTCACCCTGCCTCTATGGTAGACAATTTCCCCAATATTCTCTCTCTCTAATTTGAGGCATTAATTTTGCTCAAATTTTCTCACCACCATTCAAGCCTACCTGCCAGGGGCAGACACTAGATAATATATTTTTCCATAGCTCATTTTGAATATCACAAGAGCTCACGCAGGCATGAATATAATGTAAATTTATAGATTGTAAATGGTTGGGTTCCAGAGACATCTCTGTATGGCACTAATCCATTTTGGGATTCAATTTGGAGTCTCTGGGCCAGGGATGTTTGTGCACTAAGATTGTGCCTGGAGGCTAATTGTGGGCATAGCAGCCAGTCTTCTGGGTGGGCTGGGACCCGGGGAGGGACAGTCCAGGTCCTCTGCCACCATGAGGCCTGGAAATGTAGTCCTAGAACCCACATACCTGGGCCTTGCTTGTGGAAACTCTTGGTCACTGGAATTCCATCTGGAGTAGGCAGGGAGACTGCACCTGATCCATCTGGGGTGTTCCAGTGATATTGGCTCGGTATGGGGCCCAGAGAGATCTCCAGCACTGTGGTGTCTTCCAGGACTTGCTGCTATGTCTCTGGACCAGGGCTGTTGGTGCACTAAGATCCACATTACAAAATTTTCAGCAGATTCTATCTTGGTGAGGTCCATCCTGAGATGGTGGAGTCAGGCTTGGGGTATGGCGGCAATTTTGGATTGTAGAAGCAAGTGGCTGCCGGAGACTCTGGCCAACCTGTCCTCTCCAACTTACTTCAGACCGTTCAGCCATGTAGGGGTCTGAGCTTAACTGTGACTTTTGATCTCTTTCGAGATTTGTTTAGGGGTCTCTGAGGCAAGGCCAATAGTAGAGCTTACAGGGTGGTGCTGAGTTGGTTCATGGGGGTGAATGCCAGTACTTCGATGTGTATTGGGAAATGGAGGAGGTAGCCCATTCCAACATTGAGTGAGCTTATATAGCTGAGCCGGAGGTGGTTTGTGGGTGTGACCCCCACATACCTAACTTTTGTCTGTTTAATTTCTCGGTAAACTTGTTCTCAAGTTGTTGGGGTCTAGTCAAAGGCACAGTGACAATTTTGGGGTATCAAGAAGCCCGAAGGCAACATCAGGCTGCTAATGCACTCTCCCCGAGGTACAGGTTGACCTGTTGGCAGCACCATACCCCCATCTATAAACAAACTTTAAGAACGAGGTGTGACAAAAATAAAAAACTCTAAGATGTTAAAAGAACAAATATACATAAACAATAGAAAGATAATCCATGTTTATGGGTTAGAAGAATTAACATTATTAAGGTGAGCATCTTACCAAAACAATTTACTAATTTAACACAATTGCTATCAATATTTCAGTGACATTCTTGTAGGAAATAGAACAATAATGATTAAAATTTGTATTGAACTACCAAAGATTTCCAAATAATCAAAATATTCTCAAGAATTAAATAAGAAGAGACAGTATGCCCCCAAATTAAAACTCTCTAACATCTGACTCCATAATTTGAAGAAAACATAGGCAAAACCCTCAATGACATCAAAGCTAAAGACATCTTCAAAGATGAAACACCACTGATCAAACAAATGGAAGCAAAGATAAACAAATGGGAATACACTAAACTAAGAAGTTTTTGCACCTCCAAAAAGGTGATCAAGATACAAAGACAGCCCATGTAATGGGAAAGATTATTTACACAATAACCATCTGATAAGAGATTAATGTCAAAGATATATAAGTCACTGTAAAATTTTACAAGAAAAAAAATCCAATGCCATCATAAAATAGGGAGAAGAAATGAACAGAAACAGGGGAAAACATAGGCAAAACATGTCTCAATATTACTTTAGTGATGTCATTAGGGACTTCACTCCAACAGCAAGGGTGAAAAAAGCAAAAATAAATAATTGGGATTGCATCATACTAAAATCTTGCACAAAGAAGTTATCAGTAAAACAAACCCCACTTGATCACTTGACTTCCCGTTAATCGTCGATTTGCTCGAGCAGGCGCCACTAACGTCTCCATTTGTCCCTGTCGCGTGCTAGTGTAGCCCACTGTAATCTATACATTCTAGGAACACGAAGAGCCTCAAACTGATCATTCAGGATCATGATGAAGAAGTCTGACCATCTGGTAGGTGGGAGGCCACGCGCAATTAACCCCACTTAATTGAAGAAAATATTGGCACATCATGTATTTAATAAGCATCTTATATCCAAGCAATACAAATAATTTATAAAACACAAAACCAAATAACTAACTCTATTTAAAAAACATGTAAAAGAGGAGCTGGAGCAATAGCACAGCAGGTAGGGCATTTACCTTGCACTTGGCCAACCCGGGTTCGATTCCCAGCATCCCAAAAGGTCCCCCTGAGTACCTTCAGGAGTGATTCCTGAATTTAGAGCCAGGAGTAACCCCTGAGCATTGCTGGATGTGACCCAAAAAGAAAAAAAATGTAGAAGAGATGAATATTTTCAAAAGAAGATAGCAACTATATGAAAAATAATATTCACCCGCACTTATTATCAGGAAAATTTAATTTGCACTTAGTATCAGGAAAATACAAATTAAACTAATAATAAGATGTCACTTTATACATATAAAAATGGCCCATATGAAAAAGTCCAGAAACATCTAGCACTGGTCAATATATAAAGAAAAGGGAAGTTTCATACATTATTGGTGAGACTGCAAAGTAGTCCACCCTCTATGGAAAGTAGTATAAAGATTTCTCAAAATATTAATGATAGATCTACTGTATAAACCAACAATTCAACTCTTAGGTAT